TCTCACGAACCTTTTGTCAGATATCTCCAAGAAAGGTACATAACCGATCCCTCATACGGAACCAGCAGATCCTGAACAGGGGAGACGTGAAAAGGACGTGACACAAAGTACTGAAAATGAGTAGCAACCAGTTCGAGAAGAAAAAAAAAAAACTGGCCGTAGCTATTTATAAATTATTACAAATTACTATTACCGTTGCACCTGATCTTAATCGCGTGATTTTCAAATCAAAACAAAACAACCATGTTTACATATTGATCAGACACGTGTCTTTTGTACTACATTCTGACAATAATTTTATCATGGCAATTTTGGAAATGTAATTAGTAGACCATAGTCTATTCAATATTTTGTTTATAACGAACGATAATAGTTTATCGTCTATTTAATTTATAGTAAATAGACAAATGTCTTGAAAAAAAAAATCACGTCTGTATATTCACAAATTAAAATCAAATTAATTAGCTAATTTGTTTATTTAAGAAATTTGATAGTGACGTCTAACATTAGAAGAACTTGAATTTGTCAAAATAATGCCATCAATGTACGAAATCTACTATAACGTGGAAATAGCTGTTTACAAGTCACTCTCGTTATAGTGAAGTGATCAGTTCCATTAAAAATTAATTAGCACAAGGCCTTGTTGAAAAATAAAAAAAAAAAAAACTTAAAAAAAACTTAAAAAAAAACTTAAAAAAAATCTAAAGAAATCTTTTAAGAATTTAACTTTTTTTTTTTTTTTTTAATAATCTTAAAAAAACCTTAATTTAGAAATCTAAAAAACTTCTCTATTCTCTTTTGATAATTACAATGTATATTATACAAACTCTAAAAAAGATCTATAACTTCTAGAATAGATTTATTTTTTTTTGTTATTAGTTACTTTTTTGGCCAATTAGATTTTATTAATTTGTTATTATGAAATCAAGTTTATAATTACATGATGAATTTTGAGTACAACGTAGATCTATCAAAAATGTAACCGTAGACCTATCACTTCTGCGCCATGGCTAGAGAACTCTGGTTTAATATTTTAAATTTTGGGATCCTCCAATTATTTTAGCGGGCCAAATTACCCGCGAAATCGGGAAAATCCGATTTCATCATCCGCGACATTTATTGTACTAAATTATATAAACAAAATTAAAATTGAATTGCATTTTTAAACCGTTAATTAGTCTATGGCTATTATGGTAAACAATAAAACCATATATTTATTATTGATAATGGAAAATTTACTTTGCACAGTAAACTTCAATGTATCAATATGTGTAAAATCTTTAATAAGTTTATAGATATTTGAATTAAAATTTGTATCAAAATACTTAAAACAAAGTGAAGGTCACCTGCTAAAAAAAAAAAAAAAAAAAGCCAATGAAATATTTTTGATCTCAAAGCAAATTCTAGTAGTTCGTGAATTACATGTAGTCACAAAAATATAAACTAGGATCCTTCAAAATTTGCTGAGTTTTTCACAAGCGGAAACAATAGTGGCAGCAGTGTGAAAATGACAACATGCATTTCCATATTTGCAGTATTTACCTAATTTAATGCTTAAAATACATTGGTTGTTAATTGAGATATATTGAAATCTATAAAAAAATAAAAGTTCAAAAATCGGAAATAACAATTGAAACCTCGCTAGTTTTAACTATATAAGTTTGTCTTTGTAAGAAGACGAATAAATTCATCTTGATCAACTCCTCCGTCGCCATTCAGATCGGCTTCTTCAATCATTTCTCGTAGTTGTTCATCAGTAATTTCTTCACCTAACTCTTTAGTGACGCGTTTTAAATTCTTAAAAGTTATCTTCCCTGTGGCATCATCATCAAAAAAGATTAAATATCTTTAAAAAATCATTTTCCACGTTACGTTCAGACTTGAATCGTAAAGCAATATCGTCAATATGTTTCCAATTAATTCAGAAGATAAATAAATAAATAAAGTGAGATATTATTAGGCCATACAAAATTAACCAATTGATTCTCATAATCCTGCCAGTCTGCCAGATCAGTTTTTCAAATTAATAGTGTCACTTTTAAAATTCATACGTTGTGAGAATAAATTAACTTTGCATGGCCTTATAAAAATGATCGATTAAATTTCAGATCAAACCATTTTATTTTCCACAATCGTTAAAAATGTTTCAAAATTGATCGAGTCACTTTCATGTTGATTGGCTTCGTTTATAAACCATTTTATATCTTCCTCTTTAGGTTCAAAACCAAGTGCCTGAACTGCTACTTTTAATTCTTTTATTTCAATGACACCAGTTCCGTTTGTATCAAATAAATTAAAAGCTTCGCGAATTTCTTCTTCTTGCCCAAATGTAAGTTTGGAAACGGTTTTTCGTTTCTTATTTCCTCGAGTCGAAATACTAGATCTTTTTGGCTATAGGTTGTATTAGACGAAATTTAAATTAAAGAAACTTTTTAGAAACTGAAAAGTCGTCTCAGAAAATTTACCATAATTTAACGATTAAATTTGACAAAAAAAAAATCGAAACCAATGCTAGCATATACTAATACATGTCACCCCATGTGCTGCGTAGCAGCACATGTGTGAAATTAAACTCGCTACAATACGTAGTATATATGATATATAAGTTAATACATAATATATCATATAATTTATTAGATTACTCTCTCTTCTTTTAAGATATACTATACAATACAATAATAAAATAACTTATTTTTATTGTATTAACAGTTAAAGAGACGATTAAAACAGATAACAAATAATCATCTTATACAGTACGTATAACTTATGTTGTAGATCTATCAAATGTAACCGCTGACCTTCTCAATTTTTTAGCGGACACGTACGGATCACGTGATTTACACGTACCAGTAACAGCATTTTTTTCAAACTTTGAGCACAATAACCGCTTAATTAAAATCGATAAAAAAATTTTAATTCAAATTCTACAGTTACAAAGAATTAAAATAAAAAA